AGCCTAGCAACCGAGAATGATGATTTTATTTAAATATTTAAAATATTCTCCCTCTTTTATTTCAAAACTTTTACACTATATGAATAAAGCTATCCACTCTTACCCTACCCATAATTCCTCAAATTTTCATCTAGTAAACCCGAAATTATTTATTGCCCATAGATCCATAAGACACCATGGTCCTGACCTATGGAACTCTCCCCCCGAATCTATTAAATCATGTTGCTCCCTCTACTCATTTAAGGCAAAAGTTAAAACGATGTTATTATCAGAATACTCAAGGTAGAATTTCTGTGTCAACTCTTCATTCTTTATCATGTCATCTCTTCTTTCATTCGAATCGTTATCACCATCGTCATCGTCATCATCATTATCATTATCATCATCATCATCATCGTCATCATCATCATCATCCTTATTTGCGACACCATCATCGAAACTTGTATTTTCAATTACCTATCCGTTTCTGCTTAACAAATGTGTTAATATATTTCATGAGTTTTTGTCTGGGCTGTCATATTATCAAGCAATCTACACTGTTAGAACGGTGTTTAAAATATCACTGTTTAAAAGAATGTTGTTTAAAAAAGTAAACAACGTTGTTCAAAATCGAAAAATCAGTGCTCGATTGGCTTAAACAACTATCTATTAAAAAACAAAATAATTTAATTAAACAGAGTTGTTTAAAAAGTCCCGGGGGCGTCGTTGATATTTTCTCGATACGCGATTGCAATTTGCGCACACACATGCGATATGCGCAAAGAACGTACATAATACATGCATGCAAGCATGCAGTGCTAGTGTGAAGTGCAAGTGCTTGTGCAAGTGCAGTGCAGACGAAAATGGCGGAACACGGGGCAAGGCGACGACTTGGTTCTTCTCGGCTTCGCCGATGGGGTTGAGGTGAAGTTATAGAGACAAATAATAATGTTGTCTGTCACTGCCATGAAAATGATGAACAAATGTTGAAGTAAATTGGCAACAAGCTCTGCATGTTACAGTGTATAAATCGTTGTGATTATTGCAGGAGTGGTTCCAGTAGTTCATTTCACAAATTCAAACAACCAGATAATAACCATTAAACAGTTCTGTTTAAAATTTAAGCAACTCTTTTTAAACAACCCATTGTGCAGTAATACTGAATAGACAACAGTTGCTTAGTAATTTAAACATTATTGTTTAAAATTTAAACAACTTGCTTTAAACAACCGAGTTGTGCAATTTTATTACTAAACAACTGTTGTTTAAAAGGTTTCCTAATTTTTAAACAACTAAGTGTTCAAAATGTAAACAACCTTAATTTGTTTAATTTTTAAACAACAGTTGAGCGATTCACCGGTCAACTCGGGGTTGTTTAAAATTATAAACAACTTGTTTAATTTTTTTCTAACAGTGTACGATGACAGTCCTTCTTCCGCAACTAATGTTATAATGTGTTATACTGATTGAGGAAATTTAGTATTTGTGACAGTTTATCATTTCGTTTTTGAAAAAAAAAAAAAAAAAAAAAAAAAATATATATATATATATATATATATATATATGTATTTGCAAATTTAGGATTCATTGACAGTAAAATACTTATTGTACTTTATATTTTTTGTTATCGAAAACTGTAAACTTACATGAATGCAGGAGAAAATCAAATCAAATCAAAATCAAATGATGATTTTCCATGTTTTAATAGTGAAACTATTTATCATGGAGCACTTCAATATCTAAATTGTGTGCTCATTATTAATCACATAATAAATATTCTCTCTCTCTCTCTCTCTCTCTCTATTTCTCTCTTTGCAAACCTCGGGTTGAGGGGATGGAGGACGATCCCCATTAAACAAAAACTGGGGGACGTATCCCACAGTCCCCCGGAACCGACGACCTTGCTTGCAGTATTTGACATGTTTCCCCTCAATTTAGAAAAATCCGATCGCAACTATTTTCAAAAAATCAACTTAAGGGCAAAGTAAATACGCTATTGTACATCCTTCGAAAATAGTCATGGCCGTATTGAAACAAAATTGATTATATAAACCTATGTTCAACTGCAGTGGGCTACTAGTAGTATGTGTATGGCAAAAGTTCCCATCGTTTTATAGTAAATTCGTAATTTAACATTCTTTCATTCTAGATATATAAGTCGGAAAGCAGTTACTAAGAATATCCAATCATTTGGATGTTTAAATAGACGTTCTTCTGTACTAATCAATATTGCTATACCCCTAGTCCCCCCCCCCCCCTCCGTCCCCCCATCAATACACCCAGTGGCGTAATGAACAAATAAGTGTTTTTTTTGGGGGGGGGGGGGCTGGCAGACAAAAAAATCCGCATCACCCCACTCTTACATGCAGGTCCCTGTACGATGTGTCTCAATTTAGTGTTTCTGTGTTTCTGAGTGGTCTAGGCACCGTGCGTTACAAAATTAAAAGATCACTGCGCACGCACGCCGAGTAGCCGAGAAGCCTGTTTCAAATCGAGCAAAGCTAGTTTCCATGCAATCGAAACCGGGCTGACCAGATTAAACTTAAAAAAAGCAGAAACACGAAGTTTTTTTGTTTTTTTTCTTTGCCTCATCAGAGGATTTATTGATTATATATACATGGTTACAATACTACAAAGAATTGAAATTAAGTTTTGCTTTGCAAAGCAATTGAATCTTAATTAACATACAAATTATACTGATAGTTTTGATTCCCTTTCTTTTGTTTTTCTTTTTTCTTTTTTTTTTCTTCTTTTTTCTGTTAAATAACACCAAAAAGTTCTTTTGGTAAAAGCTTTCTGTTCATCTTTAAGTTTGATTTACTTTCCATTCTTTTTATAATTTCTCTATGGAGATTTTGTTTAGAAGCAACTTTTCTCTTGTCTATCCCAGTTATATTTCGCTTAACAATCAATTTATAAATGGTCCAAAATGCTATTGTAAAGAATAATATACAATGACATTCACAATCTATTTTGAGTAGGTGTTGGATATAAACACGAAGTTGCAAACCATCCAGAGACTCCTAATAAATTGCGTTACTGATTAATTAATTATATCATTACAAATCTTTATCCTCAGTTTTCTTATGTATAATTGGTTTTCTTATAAAATTAAAGATATGGCGTATACTGAATGAACGCCATTAAACTATTACCTACAACAACAACAACATGCAGGCCCCGCTGAACGTTTTTCGAAGTGGGTGGGGGAGGCTAAAGTATTTACGATCAGGTAGAGTGTAGTGTAAATTGGCGTGGGGTCTAGGGGCAAAGCCCCGGCAGGGGTCAAGAGTCCCCGGAAGCTCAGGGGGTATGGGCATTTAATTACGGTCAGATGAGCATATTTTAATACCTTATTCATGACACTGGCTGGTCACTAATTGGCGTGGGGTCTAGGGAGCTGAGCCCCCTGAAACTCAGGGATTTGAGGCATTTTATAACGGTCATTGAGCATTCAGGGGCCCACCTAAGGCCCCCTGGTGGGGTCGAGGGGGCGGAGCCCCCGGAAGCTCAGGGGTTTTAAGCATTTAATTACGGTCAGATGAACATATTTTGATACCTTATTCGTGACACTGGCAGGACACTAATTGGCGTGGGGTCCAGGGGGCGGAGCCCCCAGAAGCTCAGGGTTTTGGGGGGCATTTTATAACGGTCAGATGAGCATATTTGTATTCCTTATTCATGACACCGGCAGGTCACTAATTGGCGTGGGGTCCAGTTGCGGAGCCCCCGGAAGCTCAGGGGATTTAGGCATTTAATCACGGTTAGATGAGCATATTTTGATACCTCATTATTTTGTGACACTTGCAGGTCACTATTCTTTTTTCTTTCTTTCTTTCTATTTCTCTTTAGTATATTTTTTCAAAAAAGTGGGGGCGGAGCTCGTTGCCCCGGAGCCCCGTCGTTCTGCGTGCCCTGCCATGTAGGCCTCTAAATAAGCATATTTCTTGCCTGACTGTAAATTTAGGAATTTGTAATTTTCCAACAAACGCATAAAAAAGTATGATTTATTAAAAAGTGAGGAAAAATCTCGGAAAAATTATGTCATTTCAGCAACATTTGTAAATCACCGGTATCGAATTAGAAATGAACCACGTTTGAATTTAATTGTGACAGAGGCAGGTCACTATTCTTTCTTTCTTTATTCAGGAATTTGCCATTTCCCAACAAACGCATAAAAAGTATAATTTACTAAAGATTGAGGAAAGATCTCGGAAAATTATGTCATTTCATCAACATTTATAGCAGTTACAGATATTAAACAAAAATATTGGTATTTATTTTCCAATTTGCTGTTGAATATGAGAGAAGAAATCAGCGCAGCGAGCGTGAACATACACACACATGTACACACACTTAACACCCATCGAAAAAATAATTTCAGTACATTATCAAACTATCAGTACAGTACGTACGTGTAAAGGTTTAAAATACAGTCCAGGCTTTCCGCGAGCGGTTTCATTGGAATTAATCGAAAAATTCCCCTCGCTAGCGTGTAAATAAAAAATACGCAGGCCGGACATACGGGTATCCAGATTTTTCACTAAACTGGATATACGGTTATTTACTAGCGTTACTGTTAGTGGCCACTAAGGCCAATTAATGACTTTAAAAACAAATATGCTCTTCCTGGCTATTTGGAAATATGTCAGTTTGCAACAGAAATGAAGAACGCGCATTTTGTTGAAAATCATGTGATATCACGAACGTTTATAACCCACTTAATTGTATGGAATTGAAAATAAGTCATGGTTTAATTTTATTGGGGGGGGGGGGCTGGCGCCCCTCAAGCCCCCCCCCCCCACCAGTACGCCAGTGAATACACCAGTGGTAGCAGTCCACTATGTCGAATTACAAATCTAAAAGTTCCTAATAGAAGTAGAAGTACTAAGCAGGATCTAAAGATCATAACGTCTGGACCGAAACAAAACGAAACTGCGCCCTCGTCGGCACTTTAATAACATATTTTAACGGGAGCTGTATCTCTCATTCTGTGATTGTTAGTGGTACATTCACAACAAAGTAATGGCGATGCAGTCAAAGAGGATAATATGTTTCTTAATCTTATTCCTGTGTATTCAGGCGATATGGATTGCCATTTTACTGCCTTATTCTTTGGTCAAGCCGGTTCCTGTGTCAAAACTGGTTAATTGTTCCAACCACGACGATGGAGTGCCTTCTAGCCTTACAAGGAGAGAAGATATTAAAATAGGAACTAATCCACCGTGTTATAAAGTTGTTTATATTTGGTTAAATGAACATGATACCTTTCATGTCAATCTCATCTTCAAGCAAGTTGGTCGATTTTGCTGCCCCGGCCTCTCTTGCGGTGTACAGATTGAATATGGACGAAACTTATCTAAACTTGCTGCTAGTGATGTCGTGTTTCTATTTTACAAGTCCAGCTGGAATTGGCACGAACTGCTAAACATAAAGCATCAAGCAGAAAGGCAGAAATGGGTTTTCTGGACATCGGAGAGCCCACGGCACACCAACCATCGTGTAATCCCACTGCCAGAGTATACCAATACAACGTATGATTACATCATGACATATCGGAAGGGGGCAACTAACAAAGATGCCTATCTGTCTGAGGGTGGATATGGTCATTTCAATAGGAAAACACCCTCGGTCCAAAAGAATGACACCGGGAACTGGGCGACAGATAAAACCCGAATGGTCGCTTGGGTATCTACCAACTGTTACCCTTCTACGATGTCCTATGATCGTACAGGGTTTGTGAACGCCTTGTCGCGATATGTTAGCGTCGACAAGTATGGCCCATGCGGTTCGCAGCCTTGCAAGGACTTGGCTACCTGTGGTCTGCAGAAATACAGGTTTTATCTAGCCCTCGAAAATTCAGAATGTGCTGATTATATCACGGAAAAGTTTTGGTACAATTCGCTTACTCTGGGTTTGGTACCCATCGTGTTTGGAGCTCCAAAGGAAGATTATCTCAAAGTTGCCCCGCCGAATTCGTTTATATTTGTTCCAGACTTTCCATCTATAGCGAAACTTGCAGCTTACTTGGTGGAGCTCAGTGAAAACGATAACCTGTATAATAAGTATTTTGAATGGAAGAAGGAAGGGTCTGTGACGTTTCATAAACAGTTCTCAAACTTGGAACCCCAGAGACTTTGCGACAGTGTTGTTCGTCGGGTTTTAAAAGATGAGGAAGCTGAGCGTGATCAAAAGGGAAATAGAGAAAAGAAACCTTTGGTAAACGACTGGGATAAATGGTGGACAAAATCATGTACCTATACTGTCTCTGGATTTCCAATTCCCGATGAATGAGTGACTTTTTTCATTCTAATTGTACGTAGTTAGATTCGTTAATTAGCATATTCCTTTTTATTTTAATATTTACGTTTAGGAATTACGTGACGCTACTATTTGACTTTATGTAATTTATATCACATTATAACTCATTAGTTTTTGCAAATATGAATTAATCTGTACACATCTGTAAATGCTCTTACGCATCTTATGCCATCTATCAAGGAAACCAGGTTCTTGGACTTATTCCTCAATTGTCTTTCATCTTTACAATAGGTTTAAACAATGTGGTTCAATTGATCAAGAATTGGGAGGAAAAGTATCGTTTCCAATTGTTCTCTACAAGTGTTAAGGGATTGGTGATCGCATTTGAAAAAAGATAGGCAAGAGAAGAAGAAAATGGGGGGGGGGGCATCCAAAACTCTGACTTGGCCGATATTTTCTGTAGGATCACGGTTGGAACAAAGTGGAATGACGCGGAAATTTGTCTCCATCTCATATACACGGTATTTATCTGAACGACACATGGAAATATTCGAACCCTTAAATGCATAGGTATATATTATGAACAAGATCTTCATGAATATTGTTTTGCTCCTTAGCCAATCTCTAGAGACTAGAGACTCTGACTTGGCCGATATTTTCTGTAGGATCATGGTTGGAACATAGTGGAATGACGGCAAGCGAAGGCAAGCGAAGACAGGAACTACACTGTAAAAAAATAATAGTCGAAATAACTCAATAAAATTGAGGAAAAGAATTGCCTTATTTTTATTAAGTAAATATTACCTACGGCATCTTAAGTAGAATTTACTTATTTTGCTGAATAAATTTTTACTCAGTTAAATCGAGTTACATTAACGTAAATAATTTAAGTATTGTAATCATTTTAGATAATTAAAAAAAAAGCTATGATAGGTTTACATATTGCACGATTTGGTACCCATCTAATTTAACAAGTAACATCCACTAATCATTCACTACTTCTATTTAAAATTCAACCGTATACGACCATCACAAACTATTACATACGCTTCAATTCGACACATAATTGAAAGGCTCCAAATTGTATATATATTTGATCGTAGCATCTTAAAAGGAAAACTGGTTGACAATTTCCTGAAATATCAAGTTTTGATTTGTTTTGAAGTGGGTAACAATTAAAAATTGTCTTGTCTCCGCTTAGCCATGTTAAATGAATTAGTAAATGTTTTAAATTCCTTAAATTTTCATTCAACCACAAAAAATAATTGTTTTATTTTAAAAAAGGGTTTAATTTGGTCTTAATGAATATTCATAAATTATGTAAATATTTCTATTACGCACTGCATCGGTCCTTACTTTAAAAAGATAAGAATAATCAACATAAATTGTTTGAGTAATACGTATAATTTCTGATTTGGAGTTAAAATTACTAAATTAATACAAGCTGAAATTACTTAAAGTTCTTATGTATTCGATTTTACTTAAATATTCCACGTATGTTCTACTAAATTGAAAGTTTGAGTGAGCCAGACTTAAATTTAGTGCGTAAATGGCAAAACTAATGTTTTCAAGTATATTCTACATGAAAAAAATACGTAAAAATTACCAATAAACAAATTCTTTTTTACAGTGTAGGGAAGGAAGGAATGAAAACATTTAAAGTGACTCGGTCACATTGTTGAAGGTTGAGGAAAAAAATGCGTAAATTTTGTATGATACTTATTATATTCCTTCTACTGTACTAAACCTCTAACATTCAAACAATCCTGTAAAAATTCTCAAACCACTATTTATGGTTCTCTATGAAGGCATCAGTGTGCGACACCCTCTAACCGGGAATTCTCCCAACCATTTTTGAATTTTTCCAACCGTTTTTCCATGAAAATAAAACAGGCTTTTACAAATCTTTCGACATTTAAATGGTATATAGAGCTAATTCATTGGTTTGTGACAATTTTCATTCACCTAAAGTTTAATTAAATTGTAATAATATAGTTGGGAGAATTAAGGAATCGATCGGGTCAGTTTTTCCCAATTTGTATTATTAATAAGTCTGTTTTCACTCAAACTTTCGGATTATCTTTAATTGTACATCTAGCATTGAAGTCACTAGCTTAGCACAATTCTCTCTCATCTGAGCGATGTAACCAAGTCCCTTTAACGATAGTGGACCTAAAAGTGCCTGTATTACACATGCCTGGTTGCAACACCATGTCCAATATACTTCTCTACATATAATTTTCCTCCCCGCAAGAAAATGACCTCATTTAAAATTACATATTTACAGCAGGAAATACGTTAACACTTATGTCAATCTAGGTTTCTGTTTCGTTTGTGTATGACGACACTATTTTACTCCTTTGGTTTTCATACTTTTTCCTCCCCATGGATTTTATTGATTTTCATTTGCAAAAATAAAATATGATGATATTTTTAGTTTAAAGGAAAGTTCATGTAAGAGTTGAAATTAGACTCCTTCCATACTTGTATTTGTTACAATTAGTATTTGTTTTTCTAGTCTCTTCTCTCTATACATATTTATTTCAAATAATTTGCTTATTTACTTACATATTCATTTACTTCATTTTCTCAACTCAATTCCTTCTTCCATTCATCTCCTCTACATACACAGTCTTCCATGTCAACTGGTATATTCCTTTGTTCTCTTCTCATTCGTTATTCATGGCTTGTGTGAGTGCATTGGGTTTTTCCACTTCTTACTTATTATTGCTTCTCCTCTCCTTTCCTTTTTGAATATTCAGTCTAACTCTTAAATCCTATTTTGCTATTGGTTTATGATGTATTTCGTTTGAATATATTTTGCTTTAAAATGTTCAGTATGATGCTGCATAGCAGTCTACAATAAAAGACAGACAAACCTGCACTGGATATCTTCTGAGTCAGTTGTATTGATTTAGGGCTCTGCTACTTTTATGTCGGAGATTAAGGAGAGTGTATTTATCTGATTTTGACAGTTTTTCCGGGGAATGATTGGTGTTCTAAATTTATACTGCTGAGAGGTTATTTTTATTACTTTACACTGCATTTATCAGTCCACTCACATTTTCTCAAGAGAAATCATATAAACTATACTGTACGTTCTGAGAAAAATAAAAATAAAATATAGTATTATATCAATGTCATCAATCTTCAAATTAAATACCACTTTTGTTCACACGTATCGCCAAATGTAAATCATATATATATATATATATATGTATAAATATATTTGTTTACTTCCTTTTCTTTTTTCCATTTTTTTTCTTTCACTGAGATAATATTTAGCTGGTCTGTCGTATTCGAGAGATCGCCAATTAATTTCGTCAGAATATTCTTTCTTTCTTTCTTTATTTATTTATTATTATTTGTTTTCATTTAGTTCACCTCACCCCCCCCCCCCCCCCATTTTCGTGGAGAGGATAACTCAAGATCGGTACAGTCAATTTATTTAATTTTGGCCCAGTCATAGGTCATTTTCATAAAACGTGACAGGTACAATTTCAAGGTTACCAAGTTATCGTGATGTTATCCAGGCCCCATTTTATTTTCATATTGGGATAGAGTATGAATTGGAGATATGATTTCATGTCTCATTTGGCCATTAAGTATATCATAACATCATCATAATAGCCTTGGAACTCAAAATACGAAATTGCATATTATGACGTCAGCAATTTATTGAACATTGAGTGTATCTCTGAAAATGTTGATTGTTTTTCTTCCAATTTTTGATGTGTTTTAGCTATTAAGTATATCATGACATCATCATAATAGCCTTGGAACTCAAAATACGAAATTGCATATTATGACGTCAGCAATTTATTGAACATTGAGTGTATCTCTGAAAATGTTGATTGTTTTTCTCCCAATTTTTGATGTGTTTTAGCTGAGACAATTCTCTACAAAAAAATGTCTTGCCACCATTTTTCATTTTGATGACTTTATCATAGTTTAAAATTGCGATTGAAGGCGATTTTTTTTTTTTTTAATTTGCGTTTTATGCCGTTCTCATATTTGCATGTAGTAGACTATTTTGGTCTATTGCATGGATAACGCAATTGCCTGCGGTGCTCAAGGTTGCAGGTTCGATTCCTAGAGTGTCCATTTTTTTAAATGGTTGTCAACAGCATGTCAAAAGGTCATTAACCGCCATCAAATTCACGACAGACTACTTAAATCGTCAGTGACGAACTAAATTCTCGTTATATTTTCTACTCTGTAGCGCTGTCAACAACATATAGTTGCATATCGGTAAATTCAGGAAACAAACATTCATGAACATAGCCACATACATTTTTCTCTGATTGGTCATTCTTCATGTACAAGTTGCTTTTCATTGCTTATTGGTTATACTTATTTTACATAAAACATGTACATCTTTTCACATCGAGGGATGATTTATTTTAAAAATACTGATACACCATTATATTTGAGTCTATATAGACTTCCAGTTGGAGTTATACTTCCCTTTTCAGCAATAATGCCTTAAAATTTGTGCATAAATAATCCATTGTTGTTGTGTGTGTGTGTGTGTTTTTTTTGTGGGGGGGGGGGGGGGGGGGGGGTCTTTTCTGTTTGTTTTATCAAGATACCCATCACGGTAAGAATTTTGACTTCACTTAGTTCCAAGTTTAGCACTTATATCCCTTTCACAGAGGAATATGTCCTTCCCGCTTAGAAATTCAGGAAAAACAAAAGAAACAACAACATCAGGTACAGGTCAGGTAATGTACAACATTACAAAGATCAATATCCTTCTGTGCCCCCCCTCTCGAAGTTAAAACTGCACAGTTAACATTTTTGTGAACAAGTTGTTAAAAGTTTAAACAACCTCGGATTAACGGGTGACCTGATCTGACAGTTGTTTAAAATGTTAAGCATCTCGAGTTGTTTAAAGTTTAAACACTTAGTTGATCAACATTTTGAACAACTTGTTTAAAATCATAATTTAAACAACCAGTGTTGTTTAAAGACGGTTGTTTAAAAAGGAGCTGTTGTTCAGTGGGGGTTGTTTACACCAACTGGGTTGTTTAAAGAAAGTTTTTTAAAAAGGAACTGTTGTTCAGTGGGTTTTTTTTTTTTTTACAAGAAAAGGGTTTGTATAATGGGGTACAATTTAGGTTTGATCAGGGCTCAAATTAATTTTTTGTCCACGGGGGCTCTTCCAAATAAAAAGCGCCCCGTGAGCCTTCTCACGGGGGCTCTTTTAGTACAGACGGGGGCTCTTTTTTTAATACAAATGTCCATTGAATTGGTGGTATCCATGAAACTCCTAAATTATTTGCTATTTCATCATTATCATAAATAGTCGGCATTATTTCTCTTACAACTTTACAAGTTATAACATGCAGCTAATGGTCAGATCTCTTCCCTTTGTACGAAATTTCTGGTCCAAGCCCGTATACATTCGCGTATGAGTATAAACTTGAAAAAGCAGATAAAAATACAAACAATCAAATAAAATTCAATGCAGATCATTAAAGTTACGAAAATTAACGACAAATTAAAAGAAAGCTTTTAACATTGCCTTGTGATGTAAACAATTTCCACTTCGTGTTTGTGATTTCTATAGATGTTGACGATCTTTCTTTGAAAATGTTATATTCATAAGTTGACAGCGTAAGACGCAATGTGTAAGTTAGTATAGCTTCAGATTAGATTTTTTTTTCTTCGTTACACTCTCTGGTTAAATACATAAATCCATAAACTTACATGTATAAAGAAACAGACAAGTTTCAGAAAATTGAACCAATCGTCACAATCACTTAACTTTATCTTACATAGACA